ACTCACATGAAAAACCAGGCCCAAACTTGTGGGAATTAGCTTGTTCTTGAGGAGTGATAACAAAAAACAAAACCACCCAGCCAGTGTGGTTCAGTGGATTAAGCATGGTCCCATGCACCAAGAGGTCACTGGTTCGATTCCTAGTCAAGGCACATGCCTGGGTTTCAGGCTTGATCTCCAATAGGGAGCAAGCAGGAGGCAACCAATCGATGTTTCTCTCTCACCGATGTTTCTATTTCTCTTTCTCTCTCCCTTCTTTTCTCTCTAAAACCAATAAAAACATTAAAAACAAAACAAAAAAACTAGCTAGCACGCAGGTGTTGTATTTGTATACCTTCTTCCTTGTAATGCATAAAAGTAATCATGCTCTTTGGGACACCTCAGCCAGGTGGGCACCATTAGCTTCCTAGCTGATTCTCCACTTTCTGAATAAACAATTGGCTGAGGCAAGAAATCTTCAGATCCCAAAAGGGATAGAAAGTCCGCTACCACGGCAGACTTTCTAACCAATAGATTCTACATGGAGACTTTTGAATCTCTTCTATGGTCCATTTTCTCTCTGTTCCTTCTCTGAACTTACATAGGCCAGTCATCTAAAAAATCTAAAAGAGCCCTGGCCGGTTTGGCTCAGCAGTTAGAGCATTGGCCTGTGGATCCTGGGTTTGGTTCCCAATAAGGGCACATACCTTGGTTGCAGTTTGTCCCCGCCCGGGTTGGCGTCATATGGGTGGCAATCACTCAATGTGTCTCTCTCACGTCCATGTTTCTCTCTCTCTCTCTCTTTCCCCCCGCCTCCCTCCTACTCTATCTGAAGATAAATGCAAAAATGTCCTCAGGTGAGGTTTAAAAAAAAAAAGCTTAAAGATTGGGGCACCTAACCTATCTGGGCCTCAACTTCTCCATTTTACAAGAAGGGAACTAGATCAGATTCGTAAGTGACTTTCATAAACCTAACAAGAATATACAAACTCTGTATGCATGTATTAGTAAGGGTAAGGATAGGCAAAATAACTTCATTCATGAAGACCATCTATAAACGATTAGCTTTAAGAATGCTTTTTGGGTAACTAAAGCCTCCACAAAAGTATAGCTTCTTTAAAAGGAGACCTCATCATATTTTAGTAACATAATCCAACATATACATACCTGGAACTGAAATTTCATTTGGAAAGGCCAATGCCAATTTTGCCATACTTTATTCTGCCTGAATATGATTCTTTCTATGCACAGAACGGAGGCAGACATCAGTGCTGAATGACCATGCCTGAACGAATATAACTTAATAGGACAGGAAATCAAATAGATCACAAAATATCCACCCCACCCCAAGAAGAAAAAAAGGTCCTAAAAATAGATGACAGCAGGCATATAAAATGGGTGAGAACCAGATCCCCATGGACTTCCACCATTTATCTACCTCACAGTAGACATCAACTATATGAAATTTATGCTAATGTTTATATTTCGGTGAAAGACCAATTATTATTTTTATAAAATCTTTTCACCCAAACACTTACTTGCTTGCTACTACTGTGCAAGCTATTAACTGCCTCTCAAGCTTGAAAGCAGAAAGGAGATCTTATGACCACAAAACAAACCAAAAAATGGCTCCCAGTTCACTTTATAAATATTTGGTACATAAACTAAAAATGTAACCTCTAATGGTAAACATCTGAAACTATTACAATTTACCTGAATTATAATGCAAATCTCATATCAAATTGGAACGGGTTTCCAATTTTTTATCTGAAAGGTTCCTAAATCTTATAAGGGTTTCCAAAAAAATCAGCATTCCCATATCATCTTATTCTGAAGACCCTAATTTCTGACGAAGGGGTTAAAATTATTTCATAGGAATCTCGGTAAGGGAAGGTTTGATGGTCTCAATGTATGCATTACATAGAATCATGTCAGCATAAACAGAAATATGCAGGTGAACGCATGTGGAATCAATTTAAAAGAGATGTGTTGGGTTTGAACAAACTTCTTTGTAAACGTTAAAATACTGGCATTTCTTTTTCTTTGAGGCCACCCCTATCTTTATAAGCACTTACCCCACCCCCCAGTTTAAATTAGTAACAAGTAATATTATGTAGCACTTTGCAATTTGCAAAAGCACTGTGACATATATGATCTCATTTGAGACTCACCACTAAATAGGAAGGTGCTATTTTTAGGACCCATTTTTACATGTGAGGAAGCTGACACTAAATGGCTGACTTGCCCAAGCCCACAAAGCTGGAGACAGCTGTGTAGGGACCTGAACACAAGTCTCCTGTCTTTAAACAGCCTGCTTTTGCTACTGCACCATGCTGCCTCAAATACTGTAATCAGAGTAAAATAAATGCCCAAATCTCAGACCCCATCTAAGCCTCCCCACCCACATACAGCTACCCCTAGTCTAAGTTATAGTTAGCTTTAGAAAGTCTTTGTTCCTTATGGAAGTAGAGTTTTCATTTCTCTGGGAAACATGTAACTGGTTAAAGTGTAAATGAAGAGATCATATAAACACCATTTGACATCCACTGGAAAATATCTTAGTCACCAGGGGTTCTGCATAGACATGCCTACATGCATTTTCCAGGTAGTAGGTCAGATTCTCAGAGTCCATGACCCTAAAAGGGTTAAGAATCCAGGCCAGAGATAGTGGCTAGATATCTCTCCAAGAAGCTAAATCCACAAAGTTCTTAATATAAAGAATTTTATCTAGGCCTCATACTGTGCCCCACTTACCTTCTTCTGCTTCCCCTGCTCCAGGCACAGAGCCCTTCAGTATTTAGAAATTTTTTTTTAATTATATATAAAACCTAGAGCAACTGATAACATATAAATCAACGAACTGTAAAAAAAATTAATTTTAATTAAATTATATTAAAATGTAATCCTTAACATTCCTCTCTCTTATGACATAACTTCCCAGAATGACTGTTTTCTTACCATAAACATTCCAATTCCCAAAAGAAGGTTCACAAACACTACTTTGAACTCCTGAAATACCATTCTTCACTAAGAACCCTCTAAGATTACACAGAAGACAAGGTAGCATGCAAAGAATTCTAAATCTGTTAGGCCGTTCACTCAACTATCATACCAAAAGGATTTTAAAATTTTTTGCTGGGGGGAGGGAAAAGATAATAGTGGGAGAGAATGAATACAGCTCTATTGTCTTACTGCTTAAAAACTCCTAATTTGAATCTATAACATATTCCTACTAACCACTCAACTTGAACATCAGAAGCACAGTCTCTTTTCATCTTAAATAGAGCTTTTCAGTCCAAATCTGTATAAACAAACTTTGTCCTTCAATCCTTCAACTCCTCGGCAGTTTTTCAAGGTCACTTTTGCAAGCAGAGACAGAAGCCTGCATCTAGCAACTTTGCCTGCTATAGCATGCCAATTCTAGGAGTCCAAAATCTAAACCCCTATCGATCCTCTCAGGTAAATCCTTTACTCAAGGGGAAGTGAGGGGAAGGCAAATCAGCACCCTCCAAACTTCTCCTCTAAGAGGGCCTGCTCCTGTTCCCTACCCAGAGACTGAGTGCTGGCTCACTGCTCCACACTGCAGAAATGTTCCAATGACCTTCATTCCATACTTGCAAATAAAAAGAAAATAAAGAATTGCTTTTTAAAATCAAGTGCATTATAGATCTTTGGTACATGGGATGGAAGATTTCACTATTCACAAGAACTGACTGGTTATTGATTAGCAACCTGCATTACCTTCATAGCCTAAAGAGGAAAAAATACATATATATCAAGGGCAAAAGACAGAGTGCCTACACTTTTAACTTTCCTATTCACAAACTGCAGGTAAATTAAGACTTAAATATTTCACACAGAAAATGAAAAGCATTTTGCTCACATCACTTTAAAGAACCAAATCAACACCTGACAAAATGTGTGAAATTGGTGGAAAAAGATTTACTCTTGTCATTGTCAATACAATGGAGAAGTCTGCTTCTAACCAGCATTCTATGCTAAAATGTGCATTTTAAAACAAAGATTGATACTTACTTAATTGGTACTTATAAGAATTAGAAGCAGACAGGTAAATCAAGAAAGTTATGCGAGAATTTCACATTGGCATGTGGGCCTTCATTAGAACCTGCATCAGTGCAAATCCTATTTTAACACAAATTTAGAACAGCAATAGTGTTGCTTCCACCTCTGAAAACACAGATGTCAACAAAGTGCATGGAAATAAAAGAAGTCTTACAACAACTCAGCTTATTCTGTAGGAAAGCTTCAGTGCACTTGAACAAAGAAAAATTATTTGGAAAACAGCTAAGTTTACCCAATGCAAAGAGAAAGTGCTTTGCTTCCTTGTGCCCCTGAAAAATTATTAGCCTTTCTTTATGTACCTGATCTTGTTGCTTAACTAGGAAAAGAAATCCTAGTTGAAGGGCATGCAAAATCTAAATAGAGCAAGGTATTCTAGGTGCATCAAAAGGTATGCATGGAATGTAAAGTGGCCATTTTCTGAAACAGTGCAACTTGTCTACACTCTCTGAAGCTAAACAGTTTCTACCATTTTAACACAGAACAAAGAATTAAACTTACCGGGAACTGCATTAATTTTACATGTAGTTATTTATATCTCCTCGGACAGGGAGAATTTAAGTCACTCCTATCCCTCCCCCCAAAAAGGACGATGGAAACAAAAGGCAGCAGGAGATGCAGAAACCTGAGTCTGGAATGTCCAGTCCAGTGAAAACCCGAACAGCTGTCCCCCCCACCCCCCAGCAAACTATTCGCCATTTTTCTTTGTCTTTCAGCTGACCCCTGCCTCAGTGAAAAACTCCGAGGCTCCAATGAAGCCCTGCAGCCTCCTTCCACTTTAACAGTCAAAGGCATTCAATCTAGCATGCTATTTGACACCAAACCTTGCCTCCAGAGTGATCCCATTGGCTGAGCTGCTTCATTGGTTAAGAACACAAAGCCATGATTGGCTGTCAACGTCATCAGTTACCTCCTTTGTACACTTCCTGTTTTAAAGTTACCTTGAGAAGCAGAACAGGGGTCAGATCCAGACTTCAAACTACAGGGAACTTAGGCTTGGAAATGCCTGGCAAATGCACACAGCAGATGCAGTAGGGCCTCACGCGCTTCCAAAACACAGGATACTGCAAATTTAGAATTGTTTATAAAATCACACGAAAAGGTTATTACAGTTCCCACCCAAAGGATTTCTTATTGGCTGTCAGATTTCCATTTAAAATTTTTAAGGTAATTTAACTGCTTCTGATTGGCCATCAAAGATGTCTATAAGACACTGCTACAGTATCCTATGGCAGTAAACCAGAGAAGCAATGTACACAAGGTTGGAAAGTTGTACTTTAACTATCTTCAGTTTTCTATTGAGCATTAACAGAAGAAAAAATAAATTGGGTGGGGTAAGCCAATAGCTCTAAAGAAAATACAGCTTCTTTAACCGTAACAAAGCGTGGTATCAATGGCCATATAATAGTTTGCATAATTTCTAAAAAAGCATCTGTCATTATGTCCCTGGTAGTTTTAAAAACACATATTAGGCCCTGGCCGGTTTAAATCAGTGATTAGAGCATCAGCCTGTGGACTGTTGGGTCACAGGTTCGATTCTGGTCAAGAGCATGTACACCTGGGTTTCAGGTTTGATCCCTGACCCTGACTGGGGTCAGGCAGGAGGCAGCCAATTGATATGTCTCCCTCACATCGATGTTTCTCTCTCTCCCTCCCTCCCCCCCCTTCCAAGCTATCTAAAAAAAAAAATCAATGGAAAAATATCCTTGGGTGAGAATTAATAAAAAAATAATAATAAATAAAAATTAAATAAAAGCACATATTAGTACCAGGGTAAATCACTTTATTCTGAAACACAAACTAATCTAAATAGGAAAATTCTGGGGTCATGTATGAAGTTAGGGACAGAAACAATGGCATTTCCAAAAAGTCTACCAGGAACCCAAGAGGGAAATATAATGATAAAGGGGGTGGGGGGGAATTGGCAAAGAAGATAGAACATCAGTGAATGTATTGTTTAAAGCACATTATAGTTTAATGGATTAACACATTTATTTAAAGCAGTTGCAAAATGTTACTAATTTTTAATATTACACAGTTTTGGCCCTGGCTGGATAGCTCAGTTGGTTAGAGCTTTGTCCCAATACACCAAGGTTTCAGGTTTGATCCCCAGTTAGAATCAACCAATGAATGCATAAATAAGTGGAACAACAAATCAATATCTCTCTCTTTCTCCTTTCCTCTCTCTCTCTAAAAATCAATTAATAAATAAAAATACCACAGAGTTTTGATATAGAGCAGTGATTTTCAACCTTTTTCATCTCATGGCACACATATGTAAACTAATTACTAAAATTCTGCAGTATACCAAAAAATATATTTTTGCCAATCTGACAAACAAATAAGTATAATCTTAATTCATTCACACCCAAAGGCTATTGTTGTGTTAGCTGTTGTCATTTCTCTATTTGACAACCTAAGGGAAAAGAGATAAGTGCCCCTGACTAGTCAAGTATTGCATGTTTTAAAAATTCTTGCGGCACACCAGTGTGCCTCTTGCCCACCGGTAGAAAATTGCTGATATAGAGGATAATTTTTTCTACCACATTTTAAATAAACAGTAGGGCTGATCTCAGACTGAGATATTATAAACACAAGTATTCCCTGCTTTTCAAAAGTTCGCTTTACGCAACTTCACTTTTACAAAAGACCTACATTAGTACCTGTTTTTGCTAACCAAAAGAAATCCAAAGAGGAGCTTCTCTTTTATGAAGAAAAACAAAAATAGTAGTCAGCATTTGTTTTGCCGCAAGCGCCCCTAGCAGAGAGAGTAGCAGTGCAAAGCTCCTTTCCCAGGAACTACACTCAGCATCAACCAGCTTTAAAACTGTATCTGTGAGCATCTGTGCTTTATCTCAAGTTATTATAAGCATCTGTTAGCAAGATGTGTCCTAAAGTGAATGCTTCTTCACTTTACACTATTTCAGCTTACAAAGGTTTCATAGGAATAATCTACTTTCAGATGGCTAGGGAAACCTGCTGTATTTTGGTTACTGAAGATATTCTGGGGTCCTGAAATTTATCAATGTTGGTTGAAGATTTGCTTATGGATTTTGGACCCAGATGTTTAGGTTTTAAGAGGAGCCTTCAGCCCTGGCTGGTTTGGCTCCGCGCTTAGAGTGGCAGCCTGCAGTCTTGAGAGACCAGGGTTCGGTTCCCGCTAAGGGCACATATCTTGGTTGCAGTTTGTCCCCAGCCCTGGTTGGGTTGTGCGGGTGGCAACCACTTGATGTGTCCCTTTCACGGCGATGTTTCTCTTTCTCTCTCTCTCCCTCCCACTCTATCTGAACAAAAAAAGGAAAAATGTCCTTAGGTGAGGATTAAAAAAAAAAGAGGAGCCTTCAAATACAGTGAAAATTAGTTAACATGTCTTTTTTTCTTTTTTTACAAAATATTCAAATAGAAACATCTCACTATTACCTGAGGCTTTTAACAGTCTCCTCAAATCTGCTTCCTCCCATTAAAGCTAAGTATCCCAAGACTAAACAACACATCTGTTTTGCCAGGTAGACTAGATCTTTTCTAGAAATACCTCGGTTCTCTCACATGAGAGTGCATTATGTGCATATGCAGAGATTCGGTAGAGCCCTGAAATAGAAGCAAAGCTCTCTATCCTATCGTTTTGTCATATTAACTTCCCTACACACATTCTACTCATATCCCACACTGAAATGAAGTAATTTCTGAACAGCAATCAGTGCCAGGTTCTGTGCTAAGTACTTTAACCATCCAATGCTCACTATCCTTTTTTACAGGTAAAAAGAGTAAGGTTCAAAGAAGTCAAACAGCTGGCTGGCCCCTAGCCATATATCTAGTATGCGAACTCAGGTCCCACCTAGGTCAGAGTTCTTTCCACTGCACCACACTGCTTACCAAAACATAGGGCACCTCAGGACATATCCAAGGAAATTCTTAGGTGTCACACATATGTACAGATAGCATAAACCATTACACCTAACTTTATTAATTCACTAATTTAGAATCACAGATTTGACTAATGTTGACTTTAATCTGTTAGAGATCTAGCTAAGTATCTCAAAAAACAAACAAAAAACATATCCTATAAATTGGTACAAAAAAATATTTTTAAATCCTCGCCAGAGGACATGCTCTTTGATTTCAGGGAGAGGGAGAGAGGAGATGAGAGGGACGAAGAGGGAGGGAGGGGAAGGGAAAAAGAGAAACATCAATGTGAGAGAGAAACATCAGTTGGTTGCCTCCCTATGCCCCAAAGGGGGTCTCAACCTACAACCTAGGTACGTGCTCTGACAGGAAAAGCAACCTACGACCTTTCGGTGTATGGGATGATGTTCCAACTGGCCAGGGCAAGTTGATACAAATTTTATTACTTAACTATTACTAGCATTTAACTAGTAGCAAATCACATTTGTAATTTATAAGGACTTGAAATAACTAACAACCAAATCATTAAAAGTAGTATACATTAAAATATTAAGGGATTGCAGGCCCTGGGCAGGTAGCTCAGTTGGTTAGTGTCGATCTAATATGCCAAGGTTGTGGGTTCCATCTCCAGTCAGGGCACGTACAAGAATCAACTAACGAATGTATAAATAAGCGGAACAGCAAATAGATGTCTCTCCCCCTCCCTCGCCCCTTCCTCTCTGGGGAGGGAAAAAACAATAAAAAATATTAAGGAATTACATGGCAATTTCACTATGGCATGTAAAATAAGTGTTTAGTTATGCTAACAGGGCGTGTTGTAGGGCAATTTCTGAAGCCACAGAGTTGCAAGTATCACAGTTCTTTTCTCAAAAGTTTAGATCACATTCTGAATAGCTACCAGCCTGGGAAGAGAAGGCAGAAGGCCAACAGGAGAACTGTATGCCTTATACATGCTAGGGCCTCTTTTAACCCCAAAACAGTGGGGGTCAAATCAGCTGCAAGGAAGCAAAGAAGCTCATTTGAGGAGTGAGAGGCCAAAGAATAGAAAGAACATTTTCACATCACTGACTATTAATCAGTGTCACTATGACAAAACAACACTTGGGAGACAGGCAGAGCTAGAGTCAAATTCTGACTCCTCTACTTATTAATTGTATGACGTTGGACCAACCCTGAGCCTCAGTTTCCTCATCTGTAGTATTTGAATATCCCCACCTATATCAGAGCCAGTGTAAGAATTAAATGAGCCAATAACATATGTAAGGTATATTGTACTGAATAAGCACTGAAAAAATGGAAAATGCTAAAAATCATCCAATCCAAATTCCTTGCTTTACACGGTACTTAAGGCCCTAACGCTACTATGAGGGAATGCCTTTCATCTCCAGCATACTCTGCAACCCTGCAGAAAGCAACTCCTGAGCCATAAAGGGCAGTGTGGGAGGACTACCAGCTGCTACTAAAAATCTTCCCGTTTTTATACCAGAAATCCATGCTTTTCACCACCAATCCTGGCCTAGGTCTGTTTATTGTTCCAAAAGCCTACCCTTCGACTCTGCTTTTGATGTACCAGATTAAATTAAACCTTTCTCTTGATACTTTGTGAAGGTCTTTGGCATAGTTTTTATTAGTTCTTAGCAGTTTGCATAAAAAAAAAAAAACAACACAAAAAAAACCACAATACTTCAACTCCTATTTCTCATCAATAGTCACTTTAGTAGAATTCAAGCCACTAGTGGAAAGAGAACTCAAATTATCCTAGAATTTCCATTTGGCGGTCTGATCCATTTGCTTACTATAGCTTTCCCTTCTGTAGCCTGAACTAAAAGCCTCATGGGATCTCTGGGATTCCAACTCACATTCTCCCCTGGTTCTGGATCTCAGCAGACCTCTCTATATCAGACAAGTAATTGTCTTGCTCTAAAAAACACCAATGTCACTAAGACAAAACCAAAACCTCTGGTTACATGGTTCAAGCATTAATGCTCTCAAAGAAGGCAGGGTGGGAACTGATGCTCTTGGTCAGAAAATTGATTTTGAATCATAGCTACGTATACTTACTAGCTGCATGACCAAACCAAGGTACTTAACCATCTCTGAGCTTACTTCATCTGTAAAGTGGAATAAATAACTCCAACTCACAAGAGCGTTGAGGCTTAAATGAGATAAGTTAAAGCAATGAGCATTTATACCTGGTATGTGATACATGTTCAATTAATATCTAAATATACATTTGACTTGTCATATATTATAATTATATAGCACTTATCATATATTATAACTACTTTTTACCATGTCTCTATTACCAGAGAAGGGCTTCTTTTTTTTTTTTTTATCCTCACCTGAGAACATTTTTCAATTTTTTGTTCAGATAGAGTGGGAGGGGGAGAGAAAGAGAACCATCTACATGAAAAGGACACATCAAGTGGCTGCCTCCCACACAACCCAACCAGGGCCGGGAACAAACCACAACCAAGGTACGTACCCTTAGCGGGAACCAAACCAGGGTCTCTCTCGACCGCAGGCCGACGCTCTAACCACTGAGCAAACCATCCAGGGCGAGAAGGGTGTCTTATTTATATCCACATATATCCCCAGTGCTCAGCACAGAGATTTAAATCAAACTCAACCTTAACCATAGTGTCAATGAAATAACAGGGAGTGGTGAGGAACTGAGAAAACTAGAGAGTGTATGTCCCATCTAAAAGGGGCAAATACAGCCGGTTTGGCTCAGCGGTTGGAACGTCAGCCTGCGGACCAGAGTCCCAGGTTTGGTTCCCTCTAGGGGCACGTACCAATAACTAACTAACCAAATAAATAAATAAATAAATAAATAAAGGGGCAACTACTACTCAGCTCCAACTGAGACAAAGACCATGGAGGAATGTTGGTCCACGGCAGTAAGAGCTTCAGACAGAATAAACGAAGCAAAAGCCAGATCCTGGACACAAAAAGTTGATGCTGGAACAGCTCTTGAGCTGGCATCCTAAGGAATGACTAAAGGACCAACGTAATGGCAGAAGTTGGCCTCAACCACCATGACAATTCAGGCAAAACAGGGTCTTGTTCAGTACTCCAGATTACCTGATCTCGGAGGTTACACTGTTATTACAGCAGAAGCAAAAACAGCGGCAAAGAAACTGGGCTCTTCGGTGGCCTGAATATTTTATTGATGGTGTCCTTAATTAACCTTCAGACTTAAATAAACCTGTGGGTCCCAGGAAATATCAGAGAAGAAAACATCTAGTGAAAAATGAACTTTTCATATATTGGGATAGGAACACAAAGCCATAGTCATTTGAATATTAAATATGTTGTATGTATGTATTATATAGTCAGCTAATGAGATAGATGTATATAACAGTTGTTTTTGTACTGATGTTGTTATAGGTTAGGGGGATGAGTTTTTTGTGTGTGTATGTGTTTTGTTTTTTTTACAAACACCCTTAACCCAACCACCCAGAATCAAGCACTGTTAGTATTTTAGGTTACATACTTTTAAAGATTATTCTTATGTAAATAAGATATGAAGCTGTTAGTTTCCTACAATATTAGAAAATACTATACAAGCTGTTTTGTAATCTTTTCATTTAAATAACTAACTTGAGCCCTGGCCGGTTTGGCTCAGCAGTCAGAGCGTCCGCTCACAGAAGAGTTGCGGGTTCCATTCTAGTCAAGGCGCATACCTTGGTTGCAGTTCAGTCCCCGGCCCTGTCGGTCATGCAGGAGGCAACCAATCGATGTTCATTCTCACATCGGTGTTTCTCTCTCTCTCTCTCTCTCTCTCTCTCTCTCTCTCTACCCCTCCCTCCTACTCTATCTGAAAATAAATGCAAAAATATCCTCAAGTGAGAATTTAAAAATAGTAAGAAACTAATGTGAATAACTTGCCATATCAAATATATATCTTTGTCATTTATAATAATTAAAATATATTCCACTGAATGGATGTGTCATAATTTTTAATCAGTTCCATATTAATAATTTCAGTATTTTCACATTTAAAATATTGTAGATAGTATCACAGTGAACATCCATGATCTCTTTCAGAACTTCATAAATAATATAATTTTGTCTGTTTTTTTTAAAGGAAGCCAAACTGTTTTAACATTAAATATTCCCATTTTCAATTTGGTTTAAATTTTTAAAAAATTATAAGCAGTCCTGGCCAGTGTGGCTCAGCAGAACATTGGCCTGCAGATCAATGAGTCTTGGGCTCGATTCCGGCCAAGGGCACGTACCTCAGCTGCAGTTTGTCCCCAGCCTGGCCAGGGTCATGCAGGAGGCAACCAGTCGATTTGTCTCTCTCATGTTGATGTTTCTCTCTCTTTCCCTTTCTCTCCCTCCCTCCGACTTATCCAAAGATAAATAGAAAAATATCCTCGGGTGAGGTTTTTTTAAAAAAAAGTATAAGCAAATCAAAGAAAACCGAGGACTGCCAGATTGTAAATTCTTACCAATATTTTTCACCTAGCTTGGTCCTCAAACATTTTGAACAACGGCATCATTAGAATAAGGAACCTAGTGATGGTTCTCAGTATATGGTTGCTCAATAAATGAATGAATAAAATAAACTACTAAATGGATTATAAATTCTGAAGTATTTGCTTTTAAAACAATAAATTATATTCTCCAAAGCATAAATTAAGATCAGTGGACTGAAAACTATTCTAGAGGGACCTATTTCAGCCCTCACAGCTATCCAAAGATGGCACAAGCTGCCACAGAAGCCATGGATGGGTTCCTTAGCACAGGCTGTTGGAACACTTGACAGAAATATGTAAAGACAAGAAGAAAAAGAGCAGCCATGTGGAGAAGCTGGAAAAAAATAAGCCCAGTCTTTGCAACTAGACAGATTTAGATTCTAATCCTTCCTCACCTCTTTTTAGCTCAGTAACCTTGGGCTAGTTACTTAACTCCACTGAGGCCAATTTCCTAAAGTGTAAAACATCTTGCAAGGTTGTAAGGATTAGGATACTTTCATTCATTCAATAAATACTTATATGTATAGGCACTGTACTAACTAAGATTTGGGGATCCTAAGTACACAGTGCCTGTCCTCAAGGAGATTAAAGACTATTATAACAGACAGGAAAATTAAAATAGACAATCATACTGCTGTTTGTTAAGAGTTACATTAGGGTCAAATGCGTAGAACAGAAGCTAAGCACCTAACCCAGGGCCTAACTCAATTTCAAACTAGTCAGAAAAGATATCTTGGGATATTTAAAATCCTAGGAATAGGAACCTACTGAGATAAGCAAACCACATGTAACTCAAATTTTAACCAATGACATGATACAAAATATTCTATATTTCAATGTAGTTCCTATGAGTCAAAGAAGCATTTACTAAAGCACTGCTCAAGATCAAATGCACACCCATGAATGCATTTAGAATTATTCTTTAACCTTATTTATAATAATATACTGTTGATTTTAAATGGAGGGTATTCATTTACGTAAGATACCTTATATACCTCGGACATGCAAATCTGAACCTTTAATTTAAACCTATTCTGGAAACATTCGAATGCAGAGGAAAGACTAGTCCCTTTCTCTAAACTGAAGTTTATCCATCAGAAAGCTTTCCCTGCAAAATGAAAAAACACTGAATTTAGAAGTAACCTGTCTGCAAACAAAAAAGAACTTAAACCAAAATGAAAAATACAACTCCAATACTGAAAATGAGTACAGGTGTTGTCTCACTGCTATCAGGTACATCACTGCTAAAACATGGAGATACGTGGGAAGGGTACAAATATTGCAACCTAGCAAAAATTTCTGCAGGCAGAGAGATTTTTTTCCTGAGAGATTTTTTTTTTCCTCAACCATTCCACAATGTTGTCTTCCTGCTTACTTCAACAAAAATGTTACCCAGGTGACTATAAAACAAACTTACAGTTCTAACTTCAACTGACAATTTCTACAATTAAAAAAACTTTTAGCCCTGGCCGGTTTGGTTCAGCGGGTAAAGCGTCAGCCTGCGGTCCAGAGAGATCCGGGTTCGGTTCCTGCTAAGGGCACGTACCTTGGTTGCAGTTTGTCCCCGGCCCTGGTTGGTCGTGCGGGTGGCAGCCACTTGATGTGTCCCTTTCACATCGATGTTTCTCTCTCTCTCTTCCTCTCTCTTTCTCCCACTCTACCTGAACAAAAAATGGAAAATGTCCTCGGTTGAGGATAAAACAAACAAACAAACAAACAAACAAAAAACTTTTAAATGACTATAATGCAAATTTCTTTCTGGACAGAAGGGCAAAACTGGTTGTTCTGATTTTAATAATGATTGTTATTTGGCAAGTATGAAAGTTTTCATCTCATCAGAATCATTACTATTTGGCAACTGGGGATTAAAAGAGGTGTTCAGGAGACAACTTAACCCTAAAACAAACTAAATTACAGCACATAACAGCACAAAAAATCAGGTTATTTCTTTCATGTCAAGTGGTTGCTCCCCCATGTAGAAATCTTATGTACACAACAGAGTAGATAATTATAGGACTCCTCGTCAAGGAAGCTGTAAGGTTTTATGCTACTCTAAAAAGAAAGGTCCACTCACTGACAGTCACTTATTATATGCTATTGTATTCATTTCTCATAATTACCCTATAAGACAGGATTAATACCACTCCTTTCCACAGTAAGAAACTAAAGTTCAGACAGGTTAAGAATCTGGCCCCCAGCTAACACAGAGGGTAAATGCATTGCAGAGACAGAATTCTTTTCCAGGTCTGACTCCAATGTCAGCAACTACACCACCTCCTCTGAAAGGTACTTTCTGGTCAAAGTATTTTAAATTCATTTCCTCCTACAATTAATCTACTTACATTACGTTAGGTACTTGGAGCCTCTGTGGGAAAACACTAAAATGACCTTGTACCCTTCCTAACTAGTTACAGTGCATGCATGAAAAACTGAATAAACAAAATGAAAAGAGAGACTGTAAGACATCAGATAACTCAGTTTACTTTGAGCAGAAAAAACAGAATGGAAAAGAACAACTTGTTAGCTAAGGAATGTCCTTCCCAGGTAGTATGCTTAAGGCTGGAATGAACCTCAAGAAGGTCACTTGTGCCTGGCTGGTGTGGCTCAGTGGACTGAGCGTCCTCCCAATGAACTGAGAGGTCCTGGTTCCATTCCTGCTCCGGGCATGCCCTGGTTGCGGGCTCAACCCCCAGTGGGGGTGGTACAGGAGGCAGACAATCAATGTTTCTCTTTCAGGTTGATGTTTCTATCTCTCTCCCTTCCTCTCTCTCTAAAAAAATCAATTAAAAACATTTTTTTTTTTTAAAAAGGTCACTTGTGAACCTAGTAATGTCCTCTGCCATTCTTCCTTCTGTGAATGAGGCAAACTTGTCAAAACAGAAGCTTAGAATTATCTCTGCCATCAAATCAATGCTTCCATAGGAGAAGCAATGCTATCCAGCAGAATGAGCACTGGTCTGGGAATCCAGTGTACTGGCCTAGACTTGGCTCTGCCCTTATAGCTATGTGACCTTGTCAAGGTCATCACACTATTTAGGGCCTCACTACAAAGGACATTCCTGAAAGAATTAAAGGTCACTTCCTCAGATGCAAGAATTTTTCTTTTCTCACAATATTCTATGGTCAAGAGAATACAGTGTTTAAGAGTAAAGGCTCCTCCACAAATTGTGTAAGAATTAAAAGTTACAGACCTGTGTTTGAATCTGGGCTCTGCCACTTACTGGCTATGTTACCTTGAGCAAATTACTTAACTCCTCAGTTTCCTCACATGTAAAAATGAGGGTGGTAATAGTATCTACCTCATACTATGTGAGAATGACATATATATGTAATACATTTCTACCCACGTAAGCACTCAATAAAAGATAGTGACTATATTATTCCTGAGTATCTCTAGTGGCTCAGTACCTCTGAACTAAAAGGTAAGAAATGTGAATTTCAAAACTGTCTCAAAAAGACACCTAGAATGGCCCTTAATGCCTCCATTTCTCTGTAGAGGGGGATAAAAAAACCTCTATCTTTTCTAGTACAATGAATCAGTTTTGACCAAATGGAAAATGTGTAAGTATAAGTGAAATATTAAAATTCTTTGTCATATGGATTAAATAAGATGGCATGAACAGCCCTGGCCGGTTTGCTCAGTGGTTAGAGCGTCGGCCTGTGGTCCAGAGAGACCCGGGTTCGGTTCCCGCTACAGGCGCGTACCTCAGTTGCAGTTTGTCCCCAGC